AGTGTAGAATAATATTCATGGATGGCTCTTCAGAGTTCAGCTGTCCTGTGTGAATATGGCAATAGCTTCCAGATTAGCTTGTGTTTTGGTATTTACGGCAGTTGGGATGTGATCATGCTCTACTAGGGAGAAGAGTGAGTGAAGAAGTGAGTCTGGCGTGTCTCATTCTGAGCCAGACATGGTGAAAATGACTGATCTGACTTGTATGGAACTTCTCAGATGTCTTTTTGTTACTATCTTGTGCCTCTAATTCAGACAGCTTATAAGCTTAAATTCAATACTAGACCTTAATTTAATTTTTGTTCTTGTGCTCTTGGGCAAACAAACTCTAAGAATGTGAGGCGTGGGAACTGCCCATGAAACTTGTGCATGGCTGTCTTGTGTAAGAGCTAACTTGGATCTGCCAGACTTATTTGCTCCTGGTTCACCAGCAGATAGGCTTGATTTGCTAATGAAATTTTTGTGATGAAAACTTGTGTCTTACTGTGTGGTGGTTTTGTACCTTTAGGTTTGAGTTGTACTCCTTGATTACTGGAGATAAAGAAGTATATTGATAATCATAGTAACTTGTTGATGTATTTTTGAGTGCTTTTAGAACCTTATGAAATATCTCAAAATAAACTTTTGTTGATCAGATGTTTATAATTTGATGTGAAAGTGAAATAAACCAATAGTTTGAACAAAATTACCTGTTCAAAGTAAATAGTCTTTTTCTACTGAAAGGATTCATTCAGTATCATAAATGGGTTTTATTTATGGAATAATGAACTGAAATGTTCCAAAGCTTTTTAGCTTTTATGTTGGTGCAAAAAGACTTTGGGGCTGCATTGTAAGCCATCTTTTAGTAACCTTCACCGTTAATTGTGACTTTCAGCTATATCTAGAGATAGGGGCATTCAAATCAACAGAATTTCAGACTTGCAGCCCAGACTTCTCGTGCTTCAGACTTGTCAAATCTAATATTTGGAGCCTCAGTGCACATAAAAGAATAGTTCAGTGGATCTCAGGATAGAGCTTATACATTTTCATGTTCATTAAATGTGTTGTCTAGAACATGTCATCTGTGCAGCTACTTGTGTAGCTACCATAATGTCTAGCTTCAATACTAGAGTTTTTTTGGTTTTGAGAAGATGACAACTTTGGTATTGAAGTTTTGTAGGTCAAGTTTTAGACATCCAAAACATATTAAACTATTTGTCTTTAAAATAAACAATACAGCTGGAATAAACAGTTGTGCTTTGAAACACCCAGAACATCAAGTCTTCTCTGAGCTCCAAAGCCTTATAGTTACTTTGATTACATACAAAGTGGATTTCACTTCTGTTGCAGATATGCACTTCCGTTTATGATTTGTAGTTTCTATTTTAATTGTCAGGTAGCTATTTGTTCCAGTTAGGAAGTGATACCCAGAGCTATGCATGCATAAATACATGCTTTCCTACTCCTAAACTGAAGTAAAAAATTTGGGGAAAGCTTTCATCTGAATATTTTAACTAAGACTACTGTTAGAAATTTAGACTGTCAGACTGCAAGTACTCAACATTCTGAAATAGTTTCAGCATACTTCACTGTAAATGAAAAATCTTGGTTTAAATGTATGCACTGCTTCTTTTTGTTCCTCATAGCTTACAAAACTGTTTATTTTAAAACACTGTTCATCTTAAGTAATGCTTGAAAACCTGATGCGATATTCCACTAGAGTAAGGCTTTTGTTTGAGCTCAATTGTGAACTCCCTGTTCATAAGTAATGAGCCTTTATTTAAGGAAACTGTTGACAAGGAATTATTGAATTCTGGAAGTTCAGACTTCTTATGAATTGTTTCAGTTTGTTTGCTTTCCTTGCAGGTATACATTTGGTAATAATAAAATCAGAAGTCCAAGTTGGAAGGAACCTCTAGAGACCATCTGGTCCAACCTCCTATTGAAATCATGACTGTCAATTAGATTACACAGGGTCCCATCAGTGCCCCTGAGTCCTAAATATTCTCAGCAAGGGAGACTTTTACTGTTTTGCTGGGCAACCCCTTTCTGATTAATGTTTTCCTTGCGTATCTCTTCGGACCTATAAGAAAAAAAGAATATACTTAATAAAAGAAACTTAAAGAAATCACCTTAGAATTTCTTGAGATTTGTCCTGATCACTTCAGAAGACTAGTTCATGCAAGGCCTTGAATTTAATATCTTCCGTGGACTATAGTCATCCATAAGCGATTCAATAAATTGCATCTTGGTTCTAACTCACATACACATTGGGTATTGAACTTGCAAATACGAAGGGGAATAAAATTATATTTTCATGTTTAGTAGGCTTTTAATGCTTGCATTTCTTTTTATCTAAAGCTGAAGCAGGTGAACTGGAGCTGTAGACTTCCTGTATTGTAGGATGACTGCAGCTGGGCCTTTTTCCCATCAGTACTTCCCATGTAGCAACAAAGGATTTTGGTTTAAGCTCTGCTACCCTATTGTCAAGTATTTTCAAATTGTTCTAGAGAAACAGGGAGATCAAAGGAGCCCATCTGGGCCCTTTAGTGATGGTAAAAGAAACAGTCAGAACTTGAACTGTTTCATAAACTTGAGGCCACAAACAATTAGTTTAAGTCTGTTTTCTATTTAGCATCACTATATGTCATTTGTGCTTAAAACTATTTTTTAACATGATTGTGTCACTTTAGATTCCAACAGTTTAAATGTTCTGGTTTTACAAAGTTTCATTGAGGACAGTAAATATTCCTAACAGTTACTTAAGTAATCTCTTTTGCAGTACTACTTTGACTGGAATTGTGGTGGGTTGACCTTCAGCTGTGAGGTGCCCACCAGTCTGCTCTATCATTCCCCCTCCTTGACAGAAGGGAGGGAGAAAATAAGATGAAAAGCTCATAGCTTGAGATAAAAACAGAAACATCACTCAGGAATTAGTCATGGGCAAAACAGACTCAATTTGGGGAAGAGTAATTTATTGCCTTTTAATTGTGACAGTGTGATAGTGAGAAATAAAACAAACGCATTCCCCACACACCCTCTACTTCTCAGGCTCAACTTCACTCCTGATTCTTCTACCTTCTCCCCCGAGCAGCACAGGGGGATGAGGAATGAGGGTTGTAGTCAGCTCATAACACTACATCACTGCTACTCTTTCTTTCTCATCGTCTTCCCCTGCTACAATGTGGGGTTTCTCCTATGGGATGCAATCCCTCATGACTTCTCCAACATAGGTCCTTCCCACAGGCTGAAGTTCAAGACCTGCTCCAGCATGTGTCCTTTCCTGAACCCTGTGGAACAGACTGTACTAGTGTGGGTCCCTTGTGGGGTCACAGATCTTGCCAGAAAACCTGCTCCTGCATGAGCTTCTCTCCATGGGCTATAGCTCCTGCCAGGAGCTTGCTCCAAAGTGGGCTGTCCATGGGCTGCAGCTTCCTTCAAAGCACATCCACCTGCTCTGTTGTGGAGTCCTCCATGGGCTACGAGTGGATATCTGCTCCACTGTTAACTTCCATGGGATGCAGGGGGACAGCCTGCCTCACCATGGACTGCAGGGGAATCTCTACTCCTGTGCCTGGAGCACCTCTTACCCTTCCTTTTTCACTGACCTTGGTGTCTGCAGGGCTGTTCCTTTTTCTCACTCCCCTCACAGCCTCTGCACAGAAATTTTTACCATTTCTTAAATATTTTATTGGAGGTGCATGCTACCAGCATCACTGATGGCTTCAGCTTTGGCCAGCAGTGGGTCTGTCTTGAACCTGGTGCTGTCTGACATGGGGGCAGCTTCTGGCATCTTCTCGCAGAATTCACACCTGTAGCTGCCTCTGCTACCAGAACTTTGCCATGTAAATCCAATACAGGAATAGATTATAATTTTCAGGAAATATTTACAACATTCTGTACAAACTTCCAAGTGTAGCTTATGTTTATCAGCTCTTTTTGTGTTTTTTTAATTAAAATAATTGTCTGCATACTTCAAGTGAATCCTTAAATCTTTTGTTTGACTATCCTTCAGATTTCATATGCCTTCCAAAATGCAGTGCAGTTATATATGAAAGTGGACTGCTGAATGTGCACAGCTTTTCTCCCAGTATATATGACTGGGAATATACGGCCTATGGAGCAGTGCTCATGAGAATTTTCACACATCCTGGCTATAAGTTTGATTTTTGTGTCCTTGAAATGACGATAGGCAGATTCTCCTTTTTTGTTTTCCTTTTATGAATGTTTTTTGATACCTATTTTCTTTAGCCTGCCTTCCATCTAAAGCACCTTCTGGGCTGAAAGAGCACAGGCTGTATGTTTTGATGTTTTCTGTAAATGGAAATGGTTGGGTTTAGCTTGTCGTCCTTTATTTTTGTGGCTCACCACTTTCTTCTCCTTAGTTACCTCAATGGTGTAATGCCATGGTTATGAACCCCAACTGGTTTTGGTAAACTTCAGTGAGGATGGGAGTTGAGTGGCAGTTGAGAAGGTCTTGAGTGTTGGTTCTGGTTTGAGACTAGATTTATACACTTACGTTGTCTGGATTTAATTCCTTGTTTGTTTCTGTGTTTTAGCATAGGATATATAGTATGGGTTTCTGTATTAATTCATAAATCTTCAAGGGAGGATAAGGCAATTAAGATGTGTGTTTTTTTTTTCTTCAGAGCTTTGGTTGGTTAGTATTGTATGAGATTGCTGCCAGCTTTGTTTTTATGGTTTTATGTACCTGGCAACAATTGTTGAAAATTGAATTGCAGTTTGAGCACATCTGTTCTCAGTGTTGAATGTGATAAACACAAAGTTCTCTTTATACTATTTGAGTTGTTTGAGTTCAGGTACTTCTGTGTTTCTGTTGGCACCTGGTGGAGCCACTGATATGCTGTTAACTGTCTTACCCATTTGTACTTAATGACTGTGTAGCTTATGATCTAATTCTTGTTTGCACCTAGACCAAAAAAAATTATTTCAGCAAAATATTAATTTATGCTGAGAAATCCAGTGAGCTTAATGTGGTGTTTTTTTTTGTTTTCTTGCAGTTCAACTTTGTGGGAAAACTTTTGGGTCCACGTGGCAATTCTCTAAAGCGCTTACAGGAAGAAACACTGACAAAAATGTCTATTTTGGGAAAAGGTTCTATGAGGGATAAGACAAAGGTAAGACCTGAATATGCTAGTGGAGTGTCTGATACCTAGATTTTGTAACTTTTGCCAAGGTCTTTGGGGGTGAACAAGCCTTGTGACAAATTGGGGAGCAAATAAAAAGCATAGGATACCCTTGTATAGGTTAGATTCAGGCAGAGTCTCTATTCTCTAAGGAGTCTGTTCTTGCTATGAGTATTTTGGGGCTACCATGAGTTGTACTTAGGCCCCTGCAAACTATGGTAGTTGGGGATGTTAGTGGGGCATCACCAGTGCCATGTTCTAAATTGATCTTGAGCAGCTTGTAATGAGTAATGCCCAAGTGAACATGGCAGTGTTCTCACTTTTGAAGGAACCTGACTTCTAGATAGATTCAAACATTTTCACATAAAATAACACTTAACATTGAAATTAATATCATTTAACAACACTTCTAGATAAAAACAGCAGATGAAAGCAGATAAAATAAAACTAGAAAAAAATCACAGCTCTGAGGATGACTTAGGCAGCTTAAGGAACTGACAAAATTGCAATTGTTTCAATGGGAAGTATTTGGTTGTAGAGGATGTATCCATTAAAAGAGCCAAAGTAGACAGCAGAAGAGAAACCTATAGCTTAAGTGTATGTTCAAATCAGTTTCACGCTTTACTGAAATAAATCTGGCTCAATTTACAGCAGATTAGTGTACTTCACTGAGGACATATCATGTCACCTGTCCAGTAAGTTGCATTTTTGGATTGGAGCATTCCTAATGATACAAACTAAAACACTGAACATATTTCTTGCCTGTAGCATGCCATGTTTTACAGCCTCCAGGGAAATCTTTCTGTGGTTATGTAATCTGAAGCTTAAAAATACTGCGTGCTATAAAGACTGATCGTGATGTGCATATGGAAGAGTGACTTAAAGGGCTGGCTACTGAATTTTTTAAACTATAAGTTTTTCAGCACATTTCTCTGTTAGCAAAATATGTTATGTGATTTTAGAGTATTAAGGACTTGATCAAAGCTTGTAAATTACTTTGTGCAATTTAAGAGCTAACTCTTCCTTTTAATTCCTTCTTGAAAATATTTTTATTAAATGTAACTTACATAAATATAGCTTATGTTTATAGAAATAGATTCTTCCATAATACAGACTTGAAGATAAGAGGGATTTTTTTGAGTGGGAGTTGTTATGCAATGCATAATGCAGATAATGCAACTTTAAGATTTGTGTTACACAGTTATGAAAAACTACATTGCTAGTAATTTTAAGAGGAAACATGACAGTTCAACCAGAAAAGAAACAGGAATATAAACTAAACTTGCTCCAAGCCAGGATGACAAAGTCAGTCTCCAAATTCTATTAAAAGACATTCAGTGAACTTTCTCAGTTATTGTGGAATGTGTCAGTGACATGCTTCTGTTGCTGCATTACATGTGTCTTATATCAAAATATGATGTGTCATGGGGTAGAAAGACCAAGGAATTTCTTTTTTTCAATGTAAAAGTTTGTTTCATTACAAGCAGAAGCTCAAGCTGAAAAGTTCGGATCCTAACTTGAGTTTCCAAATCCTGGGGAAGAGTTGTAAATGTTCCTATTTGAATCACTTGAACTTCCCTTGTTTCTTTTGGTAATGAAGTAATTATTCAAATTTCTATTTGACTTTTTCTTGATTGAGATGCTGGCCAAAACTGCTTAAGTAACTTTTTTAATTAAATGTCTATTAAATCGAGTTGTTTGAGTTTTTGTTTGCAGAAAACTTCACCACAATTAATCTTTAAATTCAGAAACAGTAAGATTCCTGTTATTGCTGATCTGGTTGGGGTTTTTAGAAGGAACAGTGGAGAGGACCTTGTTGGATACTTTGCAGTAATACAGCTGGAATAGCTTGTGTGTACTCATTTGGAATAGTCCTTCAGAAAGCACCTTTCAGAACTAAAGCAGACGGTTAATGACACTGTTCCCAGTACTCAATTGAAACTGTAGAATGTACAAGAAAGTACAAAGGGATCCTATCAGCTCATAACCTAGACCAGGTTGCACTTAGCTCTAGCTCTTTCGAGACACGACTCAAAGCTGGAGGCTCCATATATGGAGAACTTAAGACACTTTTTCTAGTTTCAGGTAGATTATCTAAGTACTAATTGTTTCAACCATCTCTTTCACCAATAAGTAATTTACTTTTTGCCTTGATCTTCATGTGTTCTTACTTAGCATTTTGGAACTGCTATATTAAACTTGTCCAGAGAACTAGCAAATAAGAACATAAATTACATGATTTCTTTTTCTATACGAGAAAAGTAGTCTTTGCTGAAGAGAAGCCCAGGATTGAATTCCTTGGTGTCAACAAGCTGCTGCTGAGAAAAGGCTGGCGAATTCTCGCGTGACCAGTTTTTACATTACTTGGAAAATCTAGTTGAAATTTTAATGTGATTCTGACAAATGAAGTGCATAACTTGGAATCATAGAATGTTTTGGATCGGAAGGGACCTTTAAAGGTCATCTAGTCCAGCCTCCCCCTGCAATAAGCATGGACATCTTCCACTAGATCAGGTTGCTCAGAGCCCTGTCCAGCCTGACCTTGAGTGTTTCCAGGGATGGGGCATCTAGTATCTCTCTGGGCAACCTGTTCCAGTGTTTCATCACCCTCACTGTGAAAAACGTCTTCCTTGTATCTAGACTAAATCTACCCTCTTTCAGTTTAAAACTGTTGGCCCCTGTCCTATTGCTACAGGCCCTACTCTTTGCCTTGTTTGATATATTTCAAATATGGAGATAAGCTTGAGTTGCTCCTGTAGGAGAATAATAGGTAAATAGTGTATGTAACTCTTTCTATTTGCAAGTAATCCAGGTGCTGAAACAAGAGATTTCATTGCTACTTGACAATGCTCTAAGCAATGATCTAGAGAAGATAAATGGTGAACCAAGGTTATGAGACACATGGGAGATAGACTTCCTTTCCATTGCACCTGTGACTCCAAACACTACTTGTCTACCACCAAGTGCAAGGTCCTGCACTTGAATCAAGGCAACTCCTGGTATTGATACAGGCTGGGGGTTGAAGGATTTGAGAGCAGCTCTGTGGAGAAGGACTTGGCGGTGTTGGTTGATGAGAAGCTCCACATGAGCCGGCAATGTGCGCTTACAGCCCAGAAAGCCAACTGTGTCCTGGGCTGCATCCCTGGAGGCATTTGAGGTCAGGCTGGACGGGGCTTGAAGGAACCTGCTCTAGTGGGAGATATCTGTGCTTATTGCAGGGGGAGTGGAACTAGATGACTTTTTAAGGTCCCTTCAATCCTAACCATTCTATGACAGTCTCTCCAGCATGGTTGCGTTTCCCTGTTTTCTAGTGGGCTATCTGACCAAACAGAAAATCCACAGGTTTCTAGCCTGCTGTTTTGCATCTTGTAGGACAGGAGGAATTAACTAAAATATAATTACCTTTATGTAGGATTTTCTTCTAATTCTCATTGACTTTTGATTTATCTAAGGGTCAGATGAAAGTAAAATCTACTGAACAATATTGTGTTCTCCTAGTGAGCAGGAAATAGGAGCAGATGCTGTTTTCAGAAGTGCATTGGTGATGTAAGTCACTGTTCAAACTGTAATTTAAAAAAAAAAATTCTGAGAGAACTCCATATTTTGTGTTTTAAACGATTATTGTGGTTAGGATTTTTGTTACAGGTAACAATCTTTGGAATTACGTTATCACAGGTTGAAAAAAGGTTCAACTGATATAAATTCTCTTACACTGAAGCCAAGCTTGCACCACAAAACAGCTGAGGATGTGGTCTGTTCTCTCTAACAAGTTCATTGCAGCGTCTTTGCTGTCACTAGAAGAGAGACAGCATATTCTGTGTGACTACTTAGTGATGGTGATCACAGATTTTGGAATGAGCCAATTGCTGGAGGCTCTGAATCAGATCATCAAATATTTCTAAACACTTGCGTGTTAGTGCACCTGCTACATTACTGATTTTAAATGAATGATGATTACTTCTTTCCTGAGGAAAAGCAGCAGTAAGTTTCATAGACTTCTCTAGCAAAGCTAAATTTCAATATACCTATTTTTTTCGTATTTTTTTAACTTTTAGAACTTCAAAAGCTTGTGGAAGAAAGCAAATTGATGGGAAAGGTTGAGAAAATGTAGCGAAGATCACCATTACCTTTATAAGTTCTCTAGAGAAATATTTAGATAAACCAGAATAATAGATACAGATAAACTAGTCTGACTTTAAATTCATTTTGAGCAACAGTATTTCCTGGCTCTGACTTTTAATGCCCTTTTAGAATGTCCAGTCTGCTTCCTAAATGAGATTTGAGTTTAAGAGCATGTTCAGGAAAGCCTTTTTTCTCCTGTATCTTTTTCCTTACTCCTTAAACTGAGTTCTGGAATCAGTGTAGGCTTCTATTTCCATCTCTTGTCAACATATGGATGACCACATATCTACTTGATACAGTGTCTGAATTCAGTAATTCTCCTCTTCAATTAACACGTTTTTTCAAGTTGTGCTGTCACTTCATCACTGACTTTTCACTAGTCAGTGCAGAGGTACCTTCTGCTAGACTACCCAGGCTTTCATGTGTCTATGGGAGAATGAAGACGTAAAAGGACCCATTTCAGAATTTTTGTTTCATGACAAGATTGCTTTTATGTTGCAAATGTGAAGTAGTAAGTTAGTCTTCCACCCTAATCCGTTATTTGTGTTACTGATGCTTCAAGATCAGTAAAGACCTTTCAAGTTGGGTGTTCTGAATGGTTTATAAAATCTGGCAGAAGATGAATTTAAGGTAACATTAAAAATAGATATCAGGTAGTACCCAAAGAAATTTAGAACTTAAATCAAAGGTGGTGCAGTGGAGATGAAAATGGACAGTACTATGAGCATATTTTGATATATGCTGCTACTCAACTTCTCATTTAAAGCAGTGGACCTCCAGGGCTGGTATCTGGTTCTTGATAGTGTGACAAGTGGATGAAAAGCAAAAGACTCTATAGGTACAACAGAATAGAGGACAAAGTATATGAACTGTCTTTAGTAGGCATATTGCCAGATGCCTGGTTCTGCTGTGCCTCATAAGCTGTACCTAGTACTGTGCTGTGCTCTGGACCACGAAGGGGTGAAATACAAGAACATAAGGTACAAAGCAAATAGGGTAAGCTTTCTCGTAAGGCTCCCAGTGTGCAGTGCTTCAGGGATGTGTCTGTACTGAAAACATGAAGTCCAAACCATGAACTGCTTGGTGTGATAAATTTAGTCGGAGAAGATGGAGATTTAAAGGCCAAATTTAAATAAAACTAAAGGAAGTAGTGACCTTGCTGTCTTTTAGCACCTTAGTTCCACATCTGATTTGCTTTTTTCCCCCCTTAAAGAGGGGAAGGAGGATGCTTGATAGCATGTATATACCAGAAACAAATTATGTGGAACTCCACTAGAAAACATCTAGCTTCCAGTGCTAGGTGACAGTTCATGTATCTTGAGTAACTGTGCTTTAAGTATTTAGGTGAGAAACAGTTCATAATAAAACTAAATGTTTAAGACCTGTAATGTTTGTTAGTTTATTTCCTATTACTCTGATCTATTATTTGTATTGACAAGGTAATGCTTTTACTGACAAAGACTAATCCTGCTGATTCTGGCTTCTTAGTATTCTTGCTGTGGATGCTCTAACAGCTGACTAGATTCTGTTGATTTTTCTAAACATCTGCATAGTAAAACACAAAGTATGACAATGTTACTTATGAGAAGCAGAAATGGATTGTCACTTGTAAACCTCAACCCATAATTAAGGGGTGTGCATGGGGGGAGATTTCAACTATCAATGAAACTACAATTTTAGTCATCTAAAAGATTGAGTACTTACCTGGCATTTGCTGAATACAATAAGCAGCAGAGGAGAATACTTAGGGCTTTGTTTTGCTATCTGAAAAAGTGCAAAGAATTTGATATAATGTTATTTGGTAATAGAATTAAATTATTTTTGATGGTTGATTAGTCTCTTGGAATCATAGCATCATAGAATGGTTTGGGGTGGAAGGGACCTTAAAGATCATCTAATTCCAACCCCCCTGCCATGGGCAGGGACACCTTCCCCTACCTAGATCAGGTTGCTCAAAGCCTCATCCAACCTGACCTTGAACACTTCCAGGGATGGGACATCCATAGCTTCTCTGGGCAACCTGTTCCACTGCCTCACCACCCTCAGAGGGAAGAATTTCTTACTTCTATCTAATCTAAATCTTCGCTCTTTCAGTTTAAAGCCATTGACCCTTGTCCTGTCACTACATGACCTTGTAAAAAGTCCTTCTCCAGCTTTCTTGTAGGCCCGCTTTAGGCAATGGAAGACTGCTATAAGATCTCCCTGGAGCCTTCTCTTCTTCAGGCTGAACAACCCCAACTCTCTCAGCCTGTCTTCATAGGAGGGGTGTTCCAGCCCTCGGATCATCTTTGTGGCCCTCCTCTGGACCTGCTTGAGCAACTTTGTGTCCTCCTTTGGTTGGGGGCCCCAGAGCTGAATGCAGTATTCCAGGTGGGGTCTCACGAGAGTAGAGGAGAAGAATCACCTCCCTCGATCTGCTGGCCACGCTTCTCTGGGTGCAGCCAAATGGATACAGTTGGCTTTCTGGACTGTCAGCACACATTGCCGGCTCATGTTGAGCTTCTCATCCACCACCATCCCCAAGTCCTTCTCAGGGCTGCTCTCAATCCATTCTCTTCCCAGCCTGTATTTGTGCTTGGCATTGTCTGACCCATGTGCAGGACCTTGCACTTACCCTTGTTGAACTTCATGAAGTTGGCATGGATCCAGAAATGTACCTGCCAGATATGCACGGGAGTGGAGAAGCCTGTCAAAGACTAACAAATGATGTCCTTCACTTGTGTGAACGTTTTGTGTGTGAATGCAAGTATTTGAGAACTGAGCTCTGCTCCACTACATGGAAATCATCATTTCTCTTAGTGAAGTGGGTTGGGTGAAGCAGAGTAAAAGAAATAAACTCTTCTGGTATAACTAGTGAACTATTTTTTTTCCCCTAAAGTCCTCTCGCTTCTCTCACACTGTTTGTTTCATGTTGAAGTAGCACAGTTCCTTGAAGGATGTACTCAAAGTGTAAAAATCTCACTGAGAACAGAAAATAAATAAGTAGTATCTGAGCAGTGCAACAATATTATTTCAATCTTAGTATTGATAAAATAATCTTGCTCTTGCGGAATATGAGATCAAACCTGTTTCTAAAGACTTTACTTTTTAGAAAAGAGGCTTCAAATTCACTTACATTTCTCAGTGTCTTCTACATGAAACTGGTGCACTTGTGAAAACTCCTGGGAACAATCTCCCTTGTGCTATAGTTTCTGTATTGTGAGCAGAAGCAGCTAATGGGTTCTGTTTTGTGTGTTACTAGTCACTTAGTGTTGATAGTAAACAGATACTATCCTGAAATTTTAGTAGCATGATTAATTTGAAGTATGAGAAGTGTATAATTTTATACTTCTTTAGTGGTTGACATCTGAGTATGGGTAAACAGTATGTGCTAATACCTCTGAAGCAACTTTAACACTTGTATTATAATATGTTTAAAATAAGGTGGAAAAACCCCAACTCTTTTCTTATCTCCTAGGAGGAAGAGTTGAGAAAAAGTGGAGAGGCAAAGTACTTCCACCTAAATGATGACCTGCATGTTTTAATTGAAGTATTTGCTCCACCGGCAGAAGCATATGCCAGAATGGGACATGCACTGGAAGAGATCAAGAAGTTTCTCATCCCTGTTAGTATTTTAATTTTTTCATAAGAATTCTGGTAGCCTTGAGTGAGAAATTTTGTCCCTTAAAACTAACTTACTGTACAAAATTGGTTAGGTCATGTTGCTTAACTTCCTTCCCCTGTGAAAAGTGGTGATGTTTACAAATACTTTTAATTTTGATGTAGGCAGTTATTGGGTGAATGCATAACTGTCCACATACACTCACATATGATCCTATAGTAAGAGCAACTTTTTATTAACTGGTCATGTGCAAAGTATTTAAGTTTATAAATAATTGTAAAAAGTCTGTAAAACTTGAGAAAATAACTTTTCTTACTGAAGTTAGGGCTGTTCTGTGTTCTTGGTACACCTGAAGCATCAGCGTAGGGTTCTGTTTCACTAAGAATAAATAAATTTGTAGTATTGCTCCCGCTCATAATCCTGGTTTAGTGTCCAGTGCTGAGAATCAATACAATGTTCTCATAGCTTTATTTTTTCACAAAGTTAGTAATATATGACTTGTCTTCTGGTGAGTACTTCAGCTTGTGATGTATGGATGTATAAAATAAGATGTGATTTCCAGTATAAATTTGTACTCCAGGTTTGGTATATGTATAGAAAATAGTGTTGCAGGGTTTCCAGTGTCTTTCTACAGAAAATTTTCTTATGTAGGGAACAACGTTAATTGCTTTGAGATATTAAACTGCTTGGAGCAATCCAAGCTCTCTTAAGAAGCTGGGGCATTTAAGGTGATGTTACTATGTGTGAAGCTCCTAACTGTATTAGCTCTTCAGTGAATGTTCTCCTAATTTTATTGGTTATTGAATCATAGAATGGTTTGGGTAGGAAGAGACCTTAAAGATCTAACTGCAACACCCCTGCTGTGGGCAGGCACACCTTCTAGTAGATCAGGTTGTTCAAAGTCTCATCCAACCTGGCCTTGAACACGTCCAGGGATGGGGCATCCACAACTTCTCTGGGTAACCTCTTCCAGTGCTTCACCACCCTCAGAGTGAAGAATTTCTTACTTCCAGCTAATTGAAATCTATCCTGTTTTAGTTTAAAGACATTATCCCTTGTTCTATTGTTACATACCTTGTAAAAAGAGTTCTTCTCCAGCTTTCTTGTAGGCCTTCTTTAGGTACTGGAAGACTGCTATAAGGTCTTCCTGTAGCCTTCTCTTCTCCAGGCTGAACAACCCCACCTCTCTCAACCTGTCTTCACATGAATGAATATAGAAAGCAAAGCATTCACAAGGTGCATTGACTATTGTTTGTTTTTACTGCCGAAAATGCTAATCCGTGTTATTCTTGATTAATGCCAGATCTTGAAAACATGGGAGATTGAGCTAAGGAAACTTTATCTGAGTGACAGCAGTACATAAATGTTTGAGAGATTAGTCAGTGTAGCTGTATTCAGGACCATCTGGAGATGCCTATTTTGTGGCCACTACAGCCTGTTGGGGTAGAACTGCCAGTTGTACTCTGGGGTGAAGCAGTTGGTGCTGATAACCTGACAGTGCTACTGTAAGCATCTTGGGGGGTTTTAGGTCATACTAAACCTAGTTTAGAGCTGTGAAACTGAGCTGCGAAGTGACTGGACTTGATTGTATACCCCTTGAGTGTCTCTTCTGGCTTGTTTTTGTCTGAATAAAAGTTAGTTCATATGCTGAATACTACTCCATGACATGAACCAAAACGTGTTGAGTAACGATCATCAGGAGGTTCATTTAGGAATACATCCTGATGTAAAATAACACACTAATGTAGATGCACCTTAAGACAGTTAAACACCCTCCAAATGTCTTATTACTAAAGAAGCAAGTGCCACATCATAACTCTGTCTGCAGGTTCCAAATGGCTTTTGTCTTGATGTATATGAAGAGGTAAATAAACATACTGCTGTTGAAGCATCCTAATGGACCAGGTAGGAGGTACTCAATAGAACATCTGTAGGAATGCTGGGCTGTCGTCATGTTGACAGTTACTGTATTTACATGATTTATTATTTGATTGTGTGAAGGGAGAACTAAGTTCTTGGCTATTCTAGTGAGCAAACAGCTGTTTTCTTTTCTAGATTGAAATATGTTAAATTCAATAAGTGCTTCTTGCATGTGCTGGAAGTAAGAATATATCTGATCCTCTTGCCCCCTTCATCAGAGATCTGATTTTTCTTCATTGAGCTTGATTCACCTAATGTCATAATAAATGAAGTAAGCTTATCAAGGTATAGTCGTTACTGCTGTTAAGCCTGTAGAATTAGACTGATAACAAGCAATTTCATTCCTTGGTTGTACACTTTTCTGTCAGTTTTTGATCATAGCATCTTTATTGTACTGAGCTGAATGGATGCTATATAATCTTTTCTGAACTATGGGATCAAGCCAACACTGTTTTAATTTCCCTTTGGCTTTTCACATGTAATCTTATCAGAATGATTTTAAATGCCTTAATCTCTTCTGCCCCCTCCCCCCCGTCCCCTTGCAGCAGCCACTCCAGGAAGCAATAAGGAGCAGCTTTGTCCTCTCTAGGGCTACTATTTGGTTAACTGCTGTAAAATGCAAGTTGATTTTTATTTTCTATAAGGTCTGTTGTGACTTTCTTAACAAATTATCAGTTTTATGTCAAATAAGTCCTGCTATCAGTATCTATGATTACAATCTTAATTTTTGTTTTGCTTGCAATGTAAGCTAACTATACCTTCCAGTAACTTCAGATGCTGATCCTAACTTTTGAATATGGTCATTATTCAGCTTTCAGGTCAAGCCTGACTATACAATCACACTTGGTGCTAGAACATAGGACACAAAATATCCAGGTAGTAGCTGACTATAGCAAAAATGCCCTTAGCCTCTCTTCTCAGATCTCTTTAGGTACATGGACAAGCACCTTTACATTGAAGTTCAGCCTCAAGCAGCTGCAGTGGTGTACTTTCCTTTAAACTATTAGTATAACTGAAACCAGGACATGAAACTGGATTCAAGGTTTTTTTTAGGCTGTGCTTATGTTGCCTTGAGTCTCACCTGTCTTCTGCAGGTAGAATTGTGGCTTCTCACTTCAAGTGTATTCTTTTGTCCTCCTTTAAATTAGGCAGTCCCTTTGTTCTGGACAGCAGTCTGTTCAACTGCTAAATTGATGAGTGTTGTGCTTGATATTTGTTTATCCCATAATTACTTCTCTCAGGACAAAAAGCCAGGTACTTCAACCCTTATCTGCCTCCCCCCCCCCCCCCCCCCCGCCCCCAGGTACTGTATTATACTGTGATTGCTTCAGTTTTGGTCAGTAGTCTTTCTTAATTTTTGAGTAGTATAGTCATTCATCTCTTGACAGCTACAACATTAATTATGCTTTGCTGTTATCAATGTTACTTGTTTTCCTTATCTTTAAATATCTTTGAGAGAACAACCTCTAGTAGTCAATTTACAGTGAAAGCAGAATTTACAAATTTTTCTTGTAATCTACCTTGTCCTGCATGTTTAGTTTGTAAGATGTGATGGAATAGCATTTAATGGCATTTGGAAGAGCTGATGGGCTTTGGGATCTCTCATGCTTTTCTTTAAGCAAGCTGGCAAATAACTAAGGTGTGTGTCTAAAGGTAGCTGGAAACTTGATAACTATTTATTACTCACTGCCAGGATAAATTTGCTTGGGTGCTTGTGGGGACTGTCTGCGGGAAAGGTCCCCAAACTGCTGGAGATGAACAGTGGAGCAGAGATGCATCTGCACTCTGAGGGAAGGGACTCCACACTGGAATGGGTGGCTATGCCCTGAGATACTGTGAGTCTGTAGAAAAAGCCCATACTGGAGCAATTCGATGGGTAAGGATTGCATCCTGTGGGAAGGAATTGCACTGGAGAAGTCTATGGACTATTTTCCCATGAGGAGCAGGGTAAAAATGTAAGGAGTCCTCTTCCTTGAAGGAAGGAGGGGCAGAAACAGTGTGTGATGAACTGACATGCAACCCCTATTCCCTGTCCTCCTGTGCCTTTAGGGGAGGAGGTAGAGCCAGGAAGAAGAGGGGGGAGGAAGGTGGGGTTTTTTTAAGCTCTGTTTCATGTTTTTAAGCTTTGTTTCTTGTAATCCTCTTAAGTAACTGTTAACAAATTGATTTGTCCCCAAGCTGAGTCTGTTTTGCTGGGGACCATGGCTGGTGGGTGATCCTTCCCTATTCTTATTTTGACCCTCAGGCCTTTTGTTACGTTGGAGAGGATTGAGTGAGTGGCTGCATGATGGCTTATCTGCCAGCTGGGCTAAAACATGACATTAAGTAACTCCGTGTAGAGAGAAAAATCTCTCATGTACCTTGATGATGACATCATTCCTACAGAAGACATCCTCCATGTTCAGAGCAGACAGTAGTCAGTTGGGATGGGCAATATTCATAAAATGAGAGTACATCTGTTCACTTGAAATTAATCAGCAGCATTTGACTGAAATTCGAGTGTTGCCTCTGCCTAAACTGTAGTGGGGAGGAGCGCAGTTCAAATGGTTTCTGTCTTCATCTTATGTTCTCGGTGAGGAAGAGGTTGTTGTCTCCTCAAATTGACTCGAAGTGTGTGGTTTTCCAGCAGTGAGTAGTCATAAATTGACCATCAGTTGCTCCTAATTGAAGAATCCATTTCAGAGTCTAATGGATTAACACTGCTTATCATGGCTTTCTCATACTGCCTCTTCCCTGTAGCCTCCTGCTGCCTCTGGCTTACGTGATAAGGACCATATTTTTTTGTTCTGTGCCTTTGCACAGTGGAGTCCTTGTTTGTGACTAAGGCTGCTGCTATGTCTAGTAAAATGCTGCAGGAAAATGAGAAAACATCAGGGAGGAAGAAAATGACCTAACATGCTCAGTGGCAACCTAAGTGTGTCTTGGTTAAGAAATTAAATGAAATTAATATCAAATGATCAAAGATATTTTTTGAGGAGCCCAATTCTGAGGAGGATGTCGTGTGGAGAAGTTATAAAGGACATCTCTGGTATATGCAATGTCAGAGCTTTGAGCCCTGTGTCTTTGTGGTACAGTTTTAATGGTTCTTTAGCCTTTTGTTATAAGAGTGAAGTTCTTAGTTCCATACATTGCATTGAATTTTGTATTTGTAGCCAGTTCTGGTACAGCAACAACTTATAAATATGAAATGGGCTTCTGTATGGTAGTTGGTCAGAAGTGTTCAATTGCCTGCTTCTAGTCTACTCCTTGTGATGGTTTGGTTGTGTATTGGGTCCAAGCTGTTTTGTAATAGAATCTGTTTCTCAAAAGCTTAGATTTTATGGTTTTAAACAGTTGAATCAGTCTTCCAAACTTTTTTGTTTTATTTGCTTGTTGGTTTCTACTGCTTAAATAGGGGATAATCTCAGATGGGCGGTTCTGAGTTATATTTCAGAGCCCATTTAAGACAGTAGCTATCTTCAACAATGACATGTAAAGGAAAACTTTCTTATTTCTGTTTGTAGAAGTCTAGGGAAAGCAGAATGTTTCAAGGATAATTGAGGTGTTTGAATTCATGGAAGTTTTAAACTCCCTTCAATGCAGAGTTATGTTTCAGAGTTGTCTGATGCAAGACTGCCTGACGGTCTTTTGGTACCTGCTGCCTAATACATGAACGTAATAAACTCAGATTTCCAGTCAGATGCAGATCTTTTATTTTGTAATTGAGTTGTAAAATGGGTGGTATTTGAACAAACCTTCCTTCTTTGACATGGGAGGATTTGCATAAGATAGGAGCTTTTATATCAGGGATATCACTTCATTCTTATTATTGGACCTTTTAATATTTTGATACTTAATGTGTATGCATACAAACTAAAATACTTACTTTTCTGATTCACTTTTACATATGTGCTCTTTAGCTCACTTTAATTGGAAGAAAAATGATAGAAAAATATGTATAGCTCAAGAGCTCATTGCTGCATCAATTTTATTCCTGTGATGTGTTCATTTTGGAGAGTTTCAGGTTTCAGGTCACTGAAACCCTTGTGTATTTAAGTACTGTATTAATTCCATGTAAATAACTTCAGTGTTCTTTTTAATAGACCTCGAGAGAGGATTTGTGTAGAATAAGAAACAAGCCATGTGTCTTCAGCTTGTTTACTGTTGCATATTCTAGAATTGAAATTTTTGGAGCTCTTTTTATTAGATAATAGTGCACATTTACATTGAATTAATTTCCTTGTTCATTCTTTTTTAACTCCTGATTTTAAAAGTGTAGATGTCTGTAATCTATCTTTTCTTGTAAGGGGCTGTTCTCACTGTATTTACTCTTTGCTGCTTTACAACAGCAGGCAATGGGATTTTTCCTGCTTTTAACACTATCATTCTACAGCTGGAACTACAAACAATATCTCAGCTCAGAATATGGGACCTTGAATTTTTTTGTTTCCCCTTATCTACAGCATTTTAACATTGGCATTTTAGTTGATGAAACTACACGGAGATAATATGCAGTGGGAAATAAAAACATGCCTGAGCAAAAATTACAATTAATATGTAGAATTCTTTTAGAAATTTTTGACTGATTAATATGCCTATAATATTATGCATGTTAATCTGTGTCAGTGGGATGCTCAACTTGAGGAAACTTTCAGGAGCAGTGTTTGCTGGTACTAACTTGATGTGGTGGTTGAACAGTTTGGTTTTCTTTCTCGCTTTGCCCCCCTGTTTTAGGACTACAATGATGAAATCAGACAGGCACAGCTTCAAGAATTAACGTATTTAAATGGTGGTTCAGAAAATGCAGAAGTTCCTGTAGTTCGTGGAAAAACATCTATTCGAGCAAGAGGAGTACCAGTTCCTGCTTTGTCCAGGTAAGTATCTCAGCTGCAGTGGAATTTCATTTGAACATAAATATTTTAAGCTTCTCTCTTCAAACACAACCCCTGTCCCCCCAGATTGCAACAGTAAAACACATGAAGGACTTCCAAAATGTGAGCAAAAGATAAGAGAAACAATCTTGATTAATTGAAGACAGTCTAATTAGTTTAGACTGAATCAACGATGGTGCTGAACTTTGTCTTACGACTCTTGATATCTGTGTTAAGAACCAATGTACATCATCCAAGATGTTCCATCTTACTGTGGGCATTTGCTTGACTTTCAGTTGCTCCTTAGGTGCATGTAGGGCCTCTGCGTGAGCCCTATGGAGTTCATGGCTTTGAAAAACTGGTAAATCTCTCTTGCCATAATTGACATATGAAATTCAGAGCAATTTCTCTAACTTATGGAATATATGTGTTCCTTTTCTATTCTATTACTAAGTTATAATGATATAATAAAATGCTATAGAAGTATTTTGGAGGTAGAATTTGGATTTAGTCTCATCTGAGTGGCACTTGTTTTGTTTGATTCAGAAATAGGCAAGTCTACTGCTTCTTTTGCCTTATTTTTCTTTGACACAGGAGATGTTTTATTTTTCCTCTAGCAACCCTTATCTTCCTTGCTGTGCTGATATGACAGCTTCAACTCCTTTGAGTCCTGAAGTGTGAAAACAAAAACTAAATAAGGTGCATATCTGTTTCTGTTACAGTACAGAGAGATTGTGGCTGCAGCAGCTAAATGTAACTGGTTTCTACAGTGAACTATTTTCCTTCGGCTGTGGCTATGGTGCTTATTAATGCAAGCTTGAAATGTACACTTCAGATTTTAAAATAATTTAAAAATAATATTCTGAAGTGTTTTAACTCAGATTAAGCATGTTAGAAGAAAAAGCACTGAGGAATTATTCCTTTTATACAGATTGTTTGTGTATCCTATAATAACAATTGCAAACACAATGCAGAATAAATCTTAATTTAGAGAATTTACACTTACTGTTTGTGTCCTGTAAGAGTATAATTATTTTCTTTAAATCAAGACATTTTTGTTTGTACAGTCTTAAATAATATTGTTTACCATTAAGCACAGTTTCTACTTATCTCTCAAAACCCTACAAATCTAAAGGCATTTTCTGAAAAAATGCTTTTAGCTCAGGACAGTAATGTTGCAAAGACACATCTTAACTAATTGGCAGTTCTTTTCCACCTTGCTACCATTCCCTCCCACCTCCTGATTAGCTCGATCTGTGGATGAGAGAAGAGCAGAACTGAACCCAGGGAGCGCACATGGTTTATGACAGCTCCAAATTCTGCACATGAACAACCACGTTCAACCTGAGGAAGCTGGTCTATAACAGGGCTGCCAATATCCAACCATGCCAGGCATAGCTTCTTTTCTTAATTTTAACATTGTTCAGAGTATTGGTAATTACATACCAAGGTTCACTTCTTTAGCACTGTAATCAGCCATACAAGCGTGTCTGCAAATTAAAGATCTTATTTGATTTTGGAGATTTGTTTTTTTCAGTTCTTTCCCATAGATGCCTGTAGCCGCTCTGCTACAGATACTGAGTACAGACATGGTTCTATTGTGTGTTTTCTTCATTTTTCATATACCCTTAACATGTTGTTTGTGAAACAGAAGTTAGTTACTGTTTGTTCTGATCTTATCACTAAAGTTGGATACCTAATTTCAGCTACTAGTAGCTAGCACATGCATGCATAATTAACTGTAGTCCTGAATTTCAAACATCACTAGTTCCAACCTCTGGATTTTGGTAAATTCTTTTTTCAAACCTGCATATTACACAAGACATACATGCTTTTAGGTAGCTCATAAAAGCCTTTGTAGTTCATCATATTGGTCTACAACCATTGAATTGTCTTCAGGGTAAATTTAAATGTTACTAGCATTTAATTTGGAGATGACAACTAAAAATTGTATTTGTCTCCTTTTCTCTATGTTCTAAAGTTCCTTTTATATATTTTCTAAAGAAAATGGAAAGGCAATTGGTTTGTTTGACTTGCCCTTACTTCTTTAAGGCTTGTCTTAAACTCCCAAGACTCTTTTCCCCCTCAAATTGAAGCACTCTATTAGTGTAAAAGATTACTTGAATGAAATTTAATGCCATTGCTACTGAGATACAAGCATTGAGTTAAAGATTTCAAACTCAGTTGCAATGCTCTGATTCTTTTTTAGCACAAATTGATTTCAGAGTGATGCTTTATTTGAAGGAAGACTCTTTTAAAGGCTTTGTCTTAGTGTTAAATAAAACAGTTTTAATAGAGCATCCCTGATTGCATCCAGGAGAGGCTGAAGCAAAGCTTGAGAGGACTTGCAAAATGAAGTCTAAAACGTCAGACCTAAGCTCTTTTAATAGCTTGTAGAATATTTTTAGGACATCAACCTTGATACATGAAACATCCTGTGAGGATGCAATAACTGAGTGTGCTTAAGTTCCCAATTTTTTAAGCCTTTATTATTCCTGAATAGTTTCATTTAAAAAAGAAAGTACTAATTTATGCCTTTTTTTACTCCTTATTAGACATGTTGAAACTGGAGAATAATGCATCTTATCAAGTGCCTTCTTTTAAGACGACTTGTTACATGTATGTTTAGCTCCATACCAAAATTGTACTTTGTAGAAAACAATAATTTGTTCTGTTTGCCTACAAAATTCTAGCTTGTGCACAGGTATTCCTGTATATGGTAAGTAGTTTCCTAATGGTTTTGGTTTGATGGTAACTTTTTATTCTGCTATTTCTGGCTTGTTCCAGATTTTCTTGACTAAATTTTTTATGACTAGAGCCAAATGAGACTTTGGGGGTAAGTGGATGGAATTTGCCGTAGAAGGGTTGCGTGCGTTCTGAGCTTTTGCCTTTAGGAATGTGCTTTTTTCATCATTGATCTTGGGTGTATAGCTACTTTTCTTCCCCCTTACTCCCATTTTTTTTCCTTCATCCTAATACTCTTCAAGATGATCTTCAGATGTAATCACAATGTTTCTATTTTCTGTGATGTTTATACTGAGCATTTAACCTATTTAGGTGGTACCTGTCTCTCCTGTGCAACAAGAGAAGGGAGATGAGAGTGTTTCACTGGTGAAAGTCTGGCTTCCTTTCCTTTTGCTTTTATTGTAAACTGACATTATTCTTAAATTTTTTTTTTTGAGGCAACTATATAAAATGAAGGATCATACCAGTTACTTTTTAATTTATTGTGCTAGCAAGCTTAGAAGATCCATGATGCCTAGTGTGATGCTGTTATAGTGAGTAGCTAGAAGATGTAACTCTTTCGGAGTCAAGTGTTTCTTTAATGCATTTGAATTCCCATCCTGAATTGGTGCAATATAAATGATAATACTACTGAAATGTGAGTTGAGACTTCTAATTAACTAAAGACTGCAAATAAACATGTGTTTACACTTTAAAGTATACCTCTAAGGACATTTTGTGAATAAAGTAGCATTTCCTTTCTAAAACTTAACATTCCTGTTTTAAGAATAAGTAAAGATAAGACTTAAGGATCGCTCAAATCTGACTCGAACTAAGATATATTGGAAAAGTGAAATCCTAGAGGATGATAATAGTAAGTCTAAGAATATGGATAAATCTTGCTTGCTACCTTGGAGCACAGGGAGAACCAATTCATGTCACTTAGCTAGAAATCACTGTTAGAATCATGGAATGGTTTGGTTTGGAAGGGATCTTTAAAGATCATCTAGTCCAATCCCTGTGCCATGGGAAGAGACATACTCCCCTCGATCAGGCTGCTCAAAACCCCATCCATCCTGGCCTTGAACACTTCCAGCAATGAGGCATCCGCAGCTTCTCTGAGCAACCTGTTCTGGTGCTTCACCACCCTCATTGTAAAAAATTTCTTCATGTCCAATCTAAATATACCCTCTTTAAGTTTAAATCTGTTGACCCTGGTAAAAAGTATCTCAAGCCTTCTTATAAGCAGCCCCTCTTAAGTATTGAAAGGCCATAATAAGGGAGAGCTGCTTGGGTTCACTCTCCAGATAGAGAGGAACTGTATTTGAAAGCAGGTATTTTGATTTCACTAAGATGAGGGGAGGAAAAAGTAATTTCTCAAAAGCAAACATGTGGGAATAGTCTAATTAAGGAATAGCAAGATTCTGGTTCATGCTTGCATGAGACCGGGTTTTTTACTTTTGTCATTGATTCTTTTATTTGTATTTCAGTGTATGCATGACTGGGATCCTAATGATTGAATGACTGTCATTCTATATGGGGAAAGTAAAACTGTTGCAGTAGTTTGTAGGTTAACATTTACTGTCTTATATGTCAGAAGTAATATGAGGTGACTTGTATCACTGCTACAATGACAACTTCCAGTTGTTCTCCTGCCATATGTCTGAAATCAAATGGTTTCTTTTTTGAAGAATAACTTTTTCTTGAACATGTAGGTAGTGTACTGCAAAAGATTCTGTAGCACAAAAGTGTTTGGCAAAGCTGGTTCAGGATCCAGGGTAAAGGCAGGTATTATGTTCAATGTGTTTTATTTCTTTAGTCTTGTGATAAATCTCCCATTTTTCACAAAATTGAAATATACGTATTACTGTTTTCGAATAAAAGCGTGAAATAAAACTTGCATTAGAATGGTGACTTCCATGAAGTGACTTCACTTCAATGGTGACTCTTATTTAAAAGAAGACAAATAATGAAAAGGCAGGAATTCTGACTGTCTGTGAGTGGCATCTGGATATCAGCGTCCCATATTTTGGTGCTGACACTTTAAAATAACAGGTCTCTTATTTTTCCAGATGTCTGATATAAACCTGAACAAAAACACTTACTACTTCAGGAACATTGAGTGTAGTTGGCTGTGCTCAAAGGAAGAAAATATATTAACATCTGGAACCAAAATTTGTTAGATTCATTTGTTGAACAATTTAAATCCATGCAGATGTATGAACTGTGAATGCTAAAATTAAATCATTCCAAGTGTTTCCTCATTGAATAATACAGTG